GTTTGTTTAATATGTCTACGCAGACTGTAGACATTCCAATGAAAACAATATTTGCCGTTCTTCTGGTAGACTAATTTTGTTCTCTGTGAAGCTGAATTGATTGATCCTATTAGGACTTGTATCAAAAACGTTACCAAGTCCGTCAATTTCGCGTTAAAATATATTGACGATGTGCTATCTGTTAAATAAGCCGAACTTTATTGGCCACGTCGATCGTATATGTCGTCCTGAACTAGAAATCAAGACTCTTTCACTTCAGTCGCTTCCTTCAACCTTTATTACATCACAAGAACTTGCTTTGAATTGCATGATTTCCTCGGTAGATGTTGTCTTATATCGGAAACATTTACCATACAAGACTCCGAAAGATGCGTGTTGATCAAACTATCAAGTTTTACAGATGCCATCATGACCAAATTGAAAATTAACTTATTTCTTATTGTGAGGTCGATGTTTTTTATTATCTCTATGAGGTCTTGACATTATTTGGATTCGACTTAGATTTACATAGCGGCAATCGTCGCTGAAGCAGAAGACGCTTACCCTTGTGGAACACCAGGGCCCGTATTCATAAAATCGTTCTCATATATATCAAGCACGGATTTTGTGCTCAAACCAACTTTCTTGTAACTCACTTAGACCATGTCAAACGATCAACAAGTCAAATGTAAACTTTGAAAACAATATTTGGCTTTAAGTCTCTTCAAAAGTTTTCGAAATCATTGATAAAATAAGATTTGTTTATTAATCAACAACAAGAACACGAAATAAGGCTTGACCACATAAGCCATGCTTGAGCATGTTGACGGTTTCATGAATACTATATATGATATACGTGCTCTGGTCTTGTCATAATTGTTATTTTCAAAGGTATTCATGTTACCGTTTTCTTTGTTTATATTTCGCTTTAGTAGAAAGTTAGAATTGCGTTTTGTTTGACAAATCGGTATTCACTTATTTCACACATTTTTGTGTTAATTGGTGAAATTATTTCAAACTTGTCGAACCACTACAACCTTTTATATCTATGCTATTTGTATAAAAGAGCAAATACACTAAATATCTTAAAACCATACTTTTTTTTTAATTTCCGTTAGATTGAACCGCATAAGCAACATAACAGTGAAACTGGTTCTATTGGGGATTCCCACTGCACCACTCTTTTAAGAAAATATAAAGCTTTAAAAATACATAATACGTGTTTTGTTTGATTTACTTTGTACCGTGACACTTAACTGATAACTAAAAGGAAATATCGATGATTTAAAACAACATATCCTCCTTACACACGAATTGAAGATACCGTTTCTCATCACGTTAGTGTGGTGTTTGCGTCAAATACAGACGATGATACTCTATGTGTATTGATGGTAGCATAAACAACAAAAACAAATAGTGGTCATACTTTATATTTCTTTTATTTAAGTTCATGTTTTATTAGTTAATACATTATTGTCATACAATATCATATAAACACCACAACATTATTTTAATGGAATTGCTATTTGACACGAAATCTAAGATACCGTTTAACATTAAATGTTCGTGGGTAATTTCTTTGGTGGTTTGAAGTTATTTAGATAGTTTCGTGGTACAAATTTTCGTGGATACCCTGTTGAGATATTAAAGCAAGCAGCAGTCAAGAATATCAATACAAATCGTTGTATTTATTTCAATAAAAACCACGAAAATTGTTTATGCACAAGTAGCATTTCAAGTCATACATAAATGTTAGTACGTAAATGATTCACGTGTAGAAACATGACTTTTCAGACGCGTAACAACCTATGAAGCAAAAAAGCCCGGGCTTACACATCATTTTAATAATAAAAAAGCGACAAAGACAATATGATACAAAATATTAAAAAGCAAAATATTTGTAAAATAATAGGGGAAAATGACATGTGTTCTTGCTTTAAAATGGCCATTGAAACTGACGCTAGAACACGGGAGAACGCGTCTCATGCGTTCTAGAAAACAAAATTCTCCTGGGGGAGACCCCCACGACCCACAGCGATGAGAAGGGGGAAGTCCCCCACGACCCACATCGATGAGAAGGGGTAAGACCCCCTAGCTTTTGCTAATCTGTGACATTATATAGGTCTATTAAGAATTTCACATCATAAATACACGTAGTTAAGATACATCCATTTTTGCCCGTCATGAACTTATAAAGTATGTTTCAGTGGGGCTCCTGGATATATATGTAGATCTATACATATATCTAAATATCGATATAGGAGCTACCGTCATCTTATGTTCTGAGAAATGTTGATGATATAAAAACGGTTTGGTGGACACAACAGCAAAAATCTGAAATTAATCTGTTCATATTGGCTCCGACATTTTAAATATCTAGTTAATTTAGATTCATCAGGAAAGAGATATGACGCAACGGATATTTTCGAGGAATTCCAACAATCGACACATTTTTGTCGGAGAGAAAAAGGGAGAGCTGTCTTTCGCATTTGAAATACATTTGAATTTTTGCGATGCTTTTCAATAAATGTCAAAGTGAATGAATCAGCCAAGAGTGTTGTCTGTAAAATAAATTAAAACACTCAAAAATGTATTCAAAAAGCCACCAGATGGCACAACAGATCTTCTAGATCTAAAAAAAAAAGGCACATTTCATCATTGGGCTTACACATTGAAAACCCGTTTGTTACGCCCCTACTTTTGATTGGTCAACACATTAAAATGGTACAAAATAAAAGATTATGATATCAAATGTTATAAACAATAGGTGAAGCAGATCTATTCTAAGGATAAACATGAATGCATTATTTGGAATACAATTCATCAGTTTGGAATGAATAATAAAGGCTTGTTTAAAACACGAACAGGAACATTGAGAAAAAAATGTCTGTTACTTTTGTCAAGCAGAGAGTATAAATGACTGGTGTCCCGACTATATACCGCTGAAAAGTCACTAAGTGGACCGAATCAGAAAAGTCAGCTATCAAAAATCAAAGAGACATTTCGCCCAATTGCACTTTAATACTGGAGGCAGGCAGGGGGACGGGTTACATCTTTACCCATTCCGCAAAGCTCGCAAAAAGTTTTCAATTCCTGTTTGTGTTCGAAACAAACTTTTACATATATACATTACATTGTACCAAGTACATGTACGATATACTTATACAATGTGCGTTTTATTTTTATCAAAGTATTATGAATATATACATGTTTAACATATATACACAAAACTCAAGAAATATGAAGACACACTACTGTTAGGCAGGAGATGAAACATAATAATAGGAAATAGTGAAAATGCATTTATTAGAAAAGAATCGGATGTTATATGGGTTAATGAAATATTTTGATGTTACTTAGATAATTTCTTTTTGGCAGAAAGTAAATATAAACTAAATTGTTATTGAGAATGCTGTTAATTTGTACTGACTTGAATGTTATGAAGTACCTGAGAAAATAAGTGGAAAATAAGACACTAAAGAAAGTTGGCACAAGAAATACTTCTTTCCACGAACACGAAGTTTTGTCACACATACAGATTGGAATGAGATTGCATAATCACAAAGACTGGAAGATATTGTGTCTGTATTTCAATTTTAACATCGCTCACACATCCACAGTAATCACACCAAACTCTGACAGTACATGGCAGCTATTAATGAACTTGTATTTACCTCAACACATATTCTCATTTATATATCTGACGATGATGGTGCTTGCTAAGATCCAAAACACTCATAAACGTCTGTCTGTGACGTTTATTTAATTCACTCATATTCTACTCATGTAACCACCTTTTAACCTCACAAAAACTAATCGTCTTTTCTTAAAAATTAGTACCCGCTGAGTGGCGACATTATTTACTTTAAAAAATATAGGACTCGTTAGGGCTATTTATGACTACCATTTATTTTTGAGATCACAAATGAAATAGAGTTCAAGATAAATAATACAGTCAAATGCTGTTAAGTAACTTCATAAAGAATTTAATTGGCGCCTTTTCCCTTTGCTGTAGTTCTACATTGTGTACTCACATAATTTTGATATTTAGTACTAAAGATGGGATTTAAGGATCCCTGTACCACCGTTTTTCGTATATAGAGTAACCTCCCCTTAATTTCGTTTTGGCTATAGCTGTAGCACAATTGGGCCAGAAAAACTCCGTTGGCCAGCTATCTCAGTCTATTACAGCAAGAGTATAATAATCTGAAATCCTGGTCTAGCCCCGCTGACCTATTTTACACTAGGAACACTGTTAAAATTGTTGGTAAAATATATGTATGTAAATCACCTTGATTTTTTTGATTTTTTTTTTATATATAATAGTCCCTGACGCAAGGTATATTTTTCTCTTCAGAAATTATTTATGAAAGCTCACGTCATGTCGGGAAAAATAGTTTCCTAGCATAGTGTTTTAACCAGTGGTACGGGCGTCTTTAAATACACGAAAGGCCACACATAGTGCAGTAAAATAACTAAAGGTATATTTTGTTTGGTGTTTTTGTGATTATTTTCCGAATTTTAAATAACTGTTCTGCACTGAGAAATGATCCTGTCATAAAGCTAGCATTTAAATCGAAAAAAGAAATAAATGCAAAATCTATTCAATAACCTGTCCCTTTACTCCAAAACTGCTTACATCGCATAAAAATGGGAATTGACAGCGGATAAGACCGTATAAGCTTACCTTATTATACACTCAAAATTATACCGACAATCAGTAGGAGCATTTCATCATATATAAACAACGTAATGAGATATGTTACTCGTGTGATTGATGTGTTGATTGTTACATAATGTAATAACGATAAACAAAAATGAAATTTAAAAAAAGCTTAAAAAACTATTAAAATACATCCTTTTCTGTTACATGTAACTGTGGTTGTTGCGGATTCATGCAACCCCGGATTTTTTTTTTATAAAAAACAAAACAAACAAAATAAAAATTTAAAATACAGTTAAGTCAAACAATAGCCATTGTATTTTAAAGTATTGTTTCTCTGTCCCTGTCTAAACAGACATGCGTGAGGAATCATTGTATTGCTGATGGTATCATATTTCTTCACTCAGTGATTAGCATAAATGCATAAACAGTTCCGTAATTCCGGACAGCCAACTGTATATACATATCCTTATCATTGGGCTAATACGGAGCTCCAGAAACAAATCCATTTGAATGCTAAATTGATGTGAGCTTTGGGATCATCTTAGTAAAACTCCAAAAATTATATTACAAAATTAAATATTTGGTAGATTATTCAATATTTCAATATATATGCTATTAATATAGAATATTTGTGATCAATGCTGCCTTGCCTTTATGGTACGGAGGGCCATACGATCTGGTAAATGTTAGCCAGTTTGACCACATTTATAGTCATTTACTTCTTTGTGAATAAAAATATATAAACCTGAAATTCTAACTTATCATTTTGCATACCCAAAGTTATTTATCAGCCAATCAAATTGGACATTGAAATAGATATATTTTCATCATGATAAATTCACTGAAAATGTTTTGATTATGTAGAGGGCTTATTAGTGTCCAACTTTTCTGACTGAAGTGGAATGCATTCAGTACATAACTTCGATGCTTTGCGCATTATCGCCTTGGCGGCCTCGGTTTTGTTCTAACATACGATGATTTCTGAACCCCACCATAGCTTCATGTGAAACCCGTTCGAAGGCGATCGTCAAAGCACCTTTGAATATGTTTATTCCCTCCTTTATTCCATTTAGAACCTTCAAGCGCATGCACGTCTTTGTATACATCACGCATATGGTTCCATTTGGCTTTCTTGCACAATGGATTTCGTTGTCGCATTTCCCAGCACGGACAACGATACATTTGACACGGTCATTTACGGCTCCGTTTGGATTATCGAGTGCAATGGTGAGCTTACAATTTTTCAATACCCATTTTCGTTCCTGGGCAATATGGTGGCGGACCCCGACTACGAGATTTCTATGACGATCACAATCTCCGATGTACTCTGATTTGTTAAGTACCTTGTTCATTACATCGACCGTAATCTTTTTGCATGGATGCGATTCCACTGGAACCTTGAATAAAACGATCATTTCACTAGTACTGTACGAATTAATACATTGTATAAGATATAACAGGTTATTAATCGATCAAAAAAAGCATTCACATTTAATAAAAAAAATATTCAAATATAGGCGATATATTACTCAAGAAACAGATAACTTTTGAAACAGCGACATTACTGGCATGAGCGATACATACCGTCTTACCTTAGAAATTGTAATGGTTATCCTGAACGAGGAGGGGGGGGGGGATTCACTTTAGAGATTATAATGGTCTATTCATGACCGATGGGTTCTGGTAGACTTTAGGGAGGGTAGTGATAGTTTTGACCGAGGGATACCGAGTCTCTTTAAAAAGTACGATTATATATATGATCGAGGGGTATGGAGTCACTTTAGAAAGTACGATTATATTCATGATCGAGGGGTATCGAGTCACATTAGAAAGTACGATTATATTCATGATCGAGGGGTATCGAGTCACATTAGAAAGTACGATTATATTCATGATCGAGGGGTATCGAATCACTTTAGAAGTACGATGGTTTTCTTGAGCGAGGGGTATCGAGTCACTTTAGAAAATTCGATGGTTTTCTTGAGCGGGGGGTATCGAGTCACTTTAGAAAATACGATGGTTTTCTTGAGCGAGGGGTATCGAGTCACTTTAGAAAGTACGACTTTATTCATGATCGAGGGGTATCGAGTCACATTAGAAAGTACAATGGTTTTCTTAAGCGAGGGGTATTGAGTCATTTTAGAAAGCATACTGGTCTACCTGATGGAAGGGTCAACCTCCTGTCCTTATAAAAATTAAAAATTAACTAACCCGAGTAGATAAACAGAATGTTGGGGAACTTCAATGTTATTATTGTTGAATGATGGGGGATGGATGTCGGGTTACATTGATCAAGGTACCGGTATGTACAACGGCTGTATAGGACAATGTTTATGTTTCGGTCATTTTTTGTTGAATATGATTCGAATTATATAATTCATCATAAGTAACAGAGCATGAAATTTAAAAAAATAATTTTATGCATACGCTGAAGTCATTTTCCTCCTGCAATACATTATAATGAATAATTAGTTAGTAAACATAGCTAATCATTTCATTTATGTAGAAGAAAAACGTAGTCCGTAGACATATATTAAGGTTAACTTAATTCGAGGTAATGAGATTTGTGTTATATTCGGGAGGTCTGGTAATACTTATCACTTTATACTAATGACAACGTACAATATCACGATCGTAACTTAATAAAATTAAAGGAAGTTATATTAAATTAATATGTTGAATTGAAACCACGTGATGACCTTAGCGATGTAAGTAACACCATTGCATTAATCAAAAGAGAAGTTCTCCAAGTTCATATTTGAACATATTTAAAATAGTTCCGTGTGAAATACGTACCTCGTCTAGAACTGAGATCGCCTGGCCTTCATCCTGAAAATAATGTTAATAATACATAACAGACTTATTTTTTTGTGATTCGAAGCATATGAGAGAGTAACCTCTTTAATTCAACAAACTCTAATGTCCATTTGATCCACCATCTGACCCCTAGGCCTGCTAATTCTTTTGTGTCACTATAAGGAGAGTATTTTTATGGAACAGATTGCAATTTTTATACGGAATTGATGTATAAACCAAGCCACAAAACAAACCAGCAAATCGCCGAGAATCAAGCGGACTGACTTCTTGGGGCTTTATAGTACATTTTTTTCACATAATCTTTGAATAATATTTGAGAACAAATACCACAGTGGGAACATTCGTTTCTATTTTTTAATATGGAATACACATGTTTTCTTTCGGATTTCCTGATTAAGCGATACATATCGTTACAGCTATTGTTATATATGGATATAATCTAAAAAAAAAACATATTTCATTTGCCCAGCCACTATTTTTGTTGACCTTTGGCCATGTAAGGTTTCTGCAAAATTTCATTGAAATTGGTTCAGGGGTTTTGGAGAAGAAGTCGAAAATGTAAATTGTTTACGGACGCATGACGGACGACGGACGACGCCGGACAATTGGCGATCGCAATAGGTCAATTGAGACTTTGTCTCAGGTGACCTAAAAACAATTGTTGATTAAATGCGTTTACTTAAATAGATATATAGGCAAAGAAGTAATAACGACACCACAGACCAAGGTTTGTCTTTGTATGGCGATCAGCCACTTCATCAAGACAGAAACATGAACATTTATCACACCATATAACAGAGATAAACAATCATCATGAAACAATAATACAATACAAAATAGTTTAAAAAAAAAAACGAGTTACTTCTATGAAATATGCTGTTGTAATTGCATATACCCTCGGTTAGCTTGTAAACAAAGGCTAATTATTGTAAAAACGAACCATCTTGAAATCGTGAGGTCAAGTGAATTATCACAACAAATCTGAATAAATCTAGTAAGAAAAATCCTTGTTTCAGTTACGGACGGGTTACTCCCACTCGACCAGGTAGTCAACAGAGGCCAAAAGGGAAAATATAGGACAATGTGACAGTAACTCGACAAAAAATGGACAATATTCCGTTTAAATAGCCAGCAAGGACGAAATAATAATTTTTGAACAGAAAGAACTCCATCGTTCACTTTTTCATAACCAGTCAATGACAACCATGCAGGTATAACATAGCAATTGTGGTAACGTCGTCAGAGATATTTAACATATGCTAATTTATCTTACACAGATATTACTGTTGAAAACCAGGTTATCGGTGTGCAGCTAGGTAACTGTTTATAGAACGCATTTTATGTCGTCTGCTACACAATGGCATACTCTAATTGTATCGCGATATCGACACGCTGTTATTGCATAGGTATTAAAATAATTATCCTTCACTTTTCTGTTGTTACCAAACAGATATTGATGAAGGATCAAACTTCTATACACAAGCTTCGGGCAATTTCTATAAATACACTTTCGGCAAGTTGTATAAATAGACATTTGGAAATGCCTACTTTTGCCGTGGCTCTTCTTTCGGTTCATCGATAATGCTGCAATCATGAGGTCTTGAGTCAGACACAAGTTGGCGTCTTCGCGTCATCATAACATTTTACTTAGAACGAGCTTTCGGACAATTGAATTATATGGTATGTACACGTGAAAACAAAACATATGTTCGATCGATTCATTATCCAATATTACGAGCGTTTTTGAGGAGTGGTTATAAATGCAAGCTTCCGAAATATTCATTAAAAATATACTTTTTGTTTAATATGAATTTGCAATTTCTCTTCATTAGATTTTTTTTTCTTTCTAAAAACTTTTCATCAAATACTTACACCTACATTATAATGTGTAATTCATTAAACTTTACACTTTGGTTCGTTAGTTGATCTTCTTTGACAAGTATTTATCTTCTTCAAAGACATGCAGTTGAGACGTCAATTATATCGACAAGGATAAGTAATTCTTGACTCATCAAACGGAATGACCTAATGATCAACAATTATCGAAAAAGTACTTTTGTCAGTGAACACAGAAACACTTTGCTCAAAAATATAAAATTGAAACAAAGATTGATAAGAAATACCTACAGACATGTCTTTGTTTTCCTGTAGATTAAGAAAAAGCAATTTCCAAACATCAAAACACGATCTTACCGCTTGGAATGATCACGAGGATGTGTTACACGGATCTATCATTAGTATCAGAAATTCCAAATCTATTTTTGAATCCGACGTAACATGCTGTACGGAACCTGACATGGGCAACATAAAGGAATTCAAAATAGTACCACTAACATCTCATAATTTCAAGATAGAAATGTGTAGATTCGAGAAAAAAAAATCAATTACGAAAAGGGAATTATGAATTTCGATATAATAACTAAAAAACTGTCGATACTATTATTTTGGATTTATATTTTTCCATTATCCTCTTCGGTTTCCGTAAATGTGTCACTGCATATCATATCCAGCTATTTTAGATTCAAGTCGCCGAAGGTGGACTTAAGGGAAAATTGTGCAAGACAGCCGAGAGTTTTTCACTCAAAAGGTATGTAAATACAAGGGTATAAGAACGTTTGTATGCATCTTGATGTCTGATGATAGTAGGTTAGTTTAGAAATTGGGTAACAATAGGTTAGTTGAAACTCCACTGTAACAAAAGATTGGATTATTTTGTATTGACCACGGAAGATACATCTACTCCAATATTATCTAACTCTTGTATCAGTATTCAAACAGTGTGTTGAACAATTCAGTTTTTCTATAAATCCGATCACTCCACTTTTAGTAGTGATGGGTCAAGAAAGAAGTATTGTCTATGAAGTTGTGTGTGTGGAGTGAATATTATTAGGAAAGGTGAAATAGGCTGTAACTATTAGATGATGATGATGATGATGATGATGATGAATGATGATGATGATAATGATGATGATGATGATGATGATGATGATGATGATGTAGCACGAGGAAGCGTGATCCATGTATATTTCGTATTTTACAATATACATGTACAGTGACGTGTCATACATATTCTACTTTACGTCATTTCCCCATTGGATGCAATGTTAATTTACTTCTGAAAATTAAATATATATGATTATCCGTTTCAAAGAATTCCAATTGACCATGATGAGTTTATTGCCTCAAACATATTTACAGCAAAATTTAATATTACGTCGATTGGAATGGCATCAAACTTATATGCTTAGATGTAAAGTAATATCTCAATAACAAAGCTAAAGAAATTAATATAAATATGGCCAGAGGAAACACTGGATAATGTTAAAAAATTTTCAGAATTTGGATGTCTAAAAATTTGCATAAAATCCAGTGAGAAAATAACGTAACGTGAACGATTTTGAAACGTCACTGTATATTAATCCCGACCGTAAAGAACACTGTCACAGAAACGTCCACACCATTATAACATACTCCATAACATCTTATTTCAGCAGCAGAACAGATTGTACCAGGTTTTAACCTTTTTAACACTGTTCAGCAACTTGTCTTAATGAACTAATCTAATTTACAATATATCCTGGCCAACACAGTTCATAAGATGTATCGTAGAAGAATGTGTGTTTAATATCAAGTCTAAACCCTTTTTTAGTGTCTTTGAACTAATTTTGTAGTATTGATAAATCAGGTTGTAATTAACGAATATCTATAGTATCTCGCAAGCCACAGTAGGCTGGGTGTCAACCATATATTGTTTGTACATTTTAGACTATGCCTGTATGTATGTATTTTAAGCAAAATTGACATGTGACGCTTTAATGAAATAATTTGTATTGTACTGTATTGCTGTCTGATTCGTTAGAAAAACACAAGTGTGTGGTCTTGCATATGTATTGTACTGTTTTTGTTATATTTTCCAGGAGTTGTCATGACTACAGTAACAGATATCGACCAGTATACCATTGAGGTAAGCTGATAAGTGTACTGTTTGATGAACAACGTACGTGCTTTCCTAGTTATATTAGTGTTAAGGAAGGCTGTTTCAGTAACAGACAGACAGATAGCTGGCAGACGTGTTGAATTTACTCTTGTACATGATTTTGTCTTTTTTAATAATTCTTTTAACAATATAAAGCATGAACTTTGCATATATGTACGTAATAAAATGGTATCCTTATTTTGTTATGTTTGCACGGAGAAGGAAACACTAGGATTCAAAACAATGCTTTACACGTTGCAAGTATGTGATTCATTCCAAGGTTTTTAGATCTGGTTTATAGATAAAGAAGTATTAGAACACAGAAAAAATGTGTGAACTAAAATGTAACGTGTTAAGTATTTCTGTTTTAGGGTTACAATGACCAGTACACAGTACCAGAGATAAACAAACGAGACATGGCCAGACTGGAGCTCATGGTGTGTGGAAACGAAGGAACAGTTGGGGATAGAAAACAAGAGGAGTTAAGAAAACTGTTTCATGCAGCAATTGACCAAATACAAAAAGAAAAACGTGAGGTTTGGAAAAATGCTAAGGTTGTCATTCAGGACATGTACGGACAGTCAATAACTATAACCTCTGGAGGCGGGGCTTATACATTTACTGTTCAACATAATATGAAGGGAGAAATACAAGTGTACAGAAAAGGAAAACCTATGTGTTCAAAATTCAAAGGGTATTTTCTATCTCTGATTTGTTCTCCGAGGAGACATCTTGCCATCAATCAAGCAAGACATTAATGATTTTAAATCATGATATGTATAAACAATTAAAAAAAGAACATGGTTGCATGTATATGATTTTTACTTCGCTGTATACACAGAACAATAAAACTGATAAAAATCTCTCAAACTCCTTTTTGTTGGTTTTATCACACACCCGTCACACACGCCCTCACACACATACACCCCCACACAAACGTACATACATACATACATGTATACATACAAACGTACGTACATACTTACATACACATATAACATACATATATGTTTACTTTAAATCGTGATACGTATAAACAATTAAAAACAAGAACATGGTTGCATGCATAGTATAATAAAACTAATAAAAATCTCTCAAACTCCTTTTTGTTGGTTTTATCTGCCCCCTCCCCCTACCAACCACAAACGTCCTAACACATACACCACCATTTATACACAAAAGACTCAAAGCAAAGGATCGTTGGGAAACTTCGAGTTATCCGAGTATTCGAGTTAAGCGAGTTCCTATGTTTGGCATAAAGCTTGGTAACAATATGAGGCTATATATGTCATTGATTTCTCTGACAATCAACGTATTTAAACAGTCGGATAAATGACAAAAAGATAATTATATAAAATATAAAATAACAACTTATTCATAATCATATTAATTAATTAATTAATATTACAATAAACACACACGCTGTCTCCGACCTCGTGCTATGCTGATAGAAATATCAATGCGGAAATGAAAGTGCGCAAGTCTTTACACAAATCACTGTACTGGAGCGTACACGTTGGATTGCTCAGTTGATTTCGACAAAAAATGGGTATGAGTTAATCAGGAAACATATCCACATTGATAGACTCCAATGACACTTGACATCTCCTCAACACGACGTACTCAACAATAATTATCGTATTGTTCCTATAATCTCTCAATGAGTTATCAGTGCCATACAAGCTCCTGTAAAAACATAAACCGGCGAACCAGTCCTAGGTTGTGACTTTTACTGTAGAGCTTATTAGAATGTGTCGGCAGCTTTAGTGTAAATAAAGTGCAATTCAAATTGTTTATGGGTTCGCAGTGAGTATTAATTGTTGTTAATCAGCATTGATGAAGTTTGTTTCTTTATTTGAACAAAGTATTTTTACAGTCAATCACATTTTAATGCCATAAAGTTAAATAGAAGTAATTATGACCGAGCGTAAGCTGCTCATTTAGAACGATGTTTACCGTAGCACTGCGTCTAATATGTATCAAATAATTAAAGAATACATGATAGAAACTTAAGAAACTTCGAGGTAGGAGATATTTTTATGTAGGATTTTCGTTGTTGGGACCTAAGTTTCACTTCGGGATATCCGAGGTTTTCGAGTTTTCAGAGTTTGAATTATCAGAGTTTTTATTACTAAGATTAAGAAGAGTTTTGGCCGGGACCGATGATATACTTCGAGTTAAACGGGGTCTTCGAGTTATACGAGTTCGAGATAACGAGGTTCGACTGTATATGTTTCTAGATAATCCTACCTATATTTGGGCTAAGGGGCTATCTCAGCTGTGTCATATAGTCGACGTGTCACCTACAAGTCATTTGAGGGGCGCGTGTCCTCAATGACGCCTCGTTGCGCGCGAGATAGCTTGTGACACGTTTACTTCATATGACTAATTTATTCACCTTCATACATGCTGTCCTGCTAGCTCCACAGCTTGGTGGGACGGATCCTTAGCGTATGAACATGTATGAAGGGAAGTAACTAGGAAGACTAAAACTCACTTTCATAACATGCTGTCCTGGCTGTGTGACAGCTTGGTTGGACGGTGCCGGCCTGGCTGTGTGACAGCTTGGTGGGACGGTGTATGAGCATGTATAACGTATGAAAGGAGTATATTATATATTTATATCTTGGGGGTATTACGTAATGTTATGTAAAATATGCATCACAATGAAGTAAAAACCCAAATGAAGCTGTGATACATTATTTGACCCCATTCTTAATTAAGTTCTTAATAATGTTTCCAGCTGAGTGCCCCCAAGAAATATAGGTTAGTGAATGTAAATAGTCCCACTGAATTCCTTCTCAGATGTTGCATAATATTCTGATAAATGTACAATTTTTTACAGAGTTGTTTATGCTAATAACACATATTTCAAATTTACATTACAACAATATATGATTCAACACAAAACCATTCCCGATATGTCAACAAACACAACTATCAATTTTTAAACTGTTGTCTGTAATGTTCTTTATATGTGATCTAGATAGCTTCAGGTGAAACACATAGATTTTTGTGCTTCCTTCAATACTGATTTCGGTGTCTTGATATATCGACAATAAGTATCAGACGACCAGCGTCCCAAAGGTTTAATCGACTGATCCTCTACTTGTCCTGTTGCTGCTGAAGTTGCTGCTCCTGATTGTAGACTGTGACCGTTATACAAATCTGGATTTAGACCTGCCAGTCTAAGAACATGTTTCAGATGCTCAATAAACACATTTCTGGTTAGTGGTGTTTTATAATCTGTTACAAACAATGATTCTGTTTGGCATCCAAGTTTTTGTCGTTCCATTAAATATTTACACATTACTGTATATGGACATGTGTCTGTATAGTTTTTAAACAAAAATACAGCCACTCCTTTCTTAAATGGATCTGTTTTAGACGACTTTAGAGTTAATATGAAATAATCCGATTCGATACACACATCTATCACAGATAAATTAACACCTGGCTCAAATGTTGATCTACACGTGAATTCTCCACACCTAAGAAAACCGAAGAATGCCACTGTACAAGCAGTTTCCATCATGAGATCTATGAATTTACTAAAAACACCTAACCTTAAGGTTCTACAAATGTTAGCTAATATCGTTCCTGTGATCGGTAATCGGGGGTTAGCTTGCGTGGAAGACTGACGTTTTAAACCATTTAAAACAGCATTTAAACGTGGAGAACTAATTGCACTAATGTTGACAAGTGGTCTATCACTATATCTCAGACATGAGTGTCGAATCCCACACAAATATAATTTCACTGTAGGAAAAGAAAGCTTGAGTTTTGATGCGCAATAGGCCACAAACAGCACCAATAAATCCTCTGTTACTGGTGGTGCTACTCCTTCCATAACCATTGATATGAAGCCGTGCAGTAATAAGAATTGTACATACTTTCTGAAACCAGTTTCATAAACGATCTTGGTTCTAGGTGCAATAGACCTCTCCAGGAGCCCCTGTACTATGGTGTCGAGTTCCAGATGACCTCCTTGAACTTGGGTACCATGTGGGGCACCCGATCTGCTCCTGGTGCTAGTTCCCGGAATCTGTCTATCTGGAATCGAGATAAGGCATCCGCGATAGAGTTACATTTGCCTGGGATATGTTCTGCATAAATGGTGAGATTATAATGAATAGAGCACACAGTTAGCCTCCTCATTAAGGGCATAATGTTTGTTACCTTAGACCTGCCCTTATTTATAATTTCCACTGTTGCTGCATTGTCACACCACATAAGTATGCGTTTTCTTTCCCATAAATTTCCCCAGAGAATGCTGGCTACGACAATTGGATATAACTCCCTATAAGCCATAGAGATACTGTCTGATCCTGTGGTTGTCTTTCTTTTGCTTCTGCTTGAATGCTCCTGTTCTAATTTTAGCACATCTGGCCATGGCGCAGCAAACCATTTTCCTTGATAAAAACCTCCATATCCTAATGTTGATGAAGCATCGGTGAATAACTCCAAATCCTCCGCTTGTGTCAGCCATGTGTCCCTGAACAATGCTATCCCATTCCAATCTGTTAAAAGATGGAGCCACATACTTAAATCCTCTCTGTACTCCTAATTCACCTTCAAATAATGACGTAGTGATGACACTTTCGTAGAGAGAGCGATTAGATAGGAGACAAAACTTCTTCCTGCTGGTATGATTTTCGATCCAAAATTGAAATGTCCTAGAAGTTGTAATAATTCTTGTTTGGTGACTGATTTCCGGTTCTGATAAAATTTGATCATTTCGATGGTTCTGTCTAGTTTGTTTTGTGGTAGTCTTGCTTCCATAGCACAGGAATCTAAAGTAATGCCTTAATACTCAATGACACATGCCGGTCCTTCGGTTTTGTGCAAGGCCATATGAATGTGAAGCTTCTGAAAAAATCCTTTACGTGTTTCCATTGTCTGGTAGCCGTCTATTGAAGTTTCATTTATAGTAATGAAGTCATCTAATAAATGGGGAATATTTCCAATATTGTAATTATGTATCGCTATCCAACACACAGCTATGGATAAGTTATCAAAAATCCTAGGACTTGATCTACATCCAAAAACTAATCGTTTGTAAAAATAATATGAGTCCTCCCATTTTATGCAAAACAAGTGCCACTGTGATGGATGGATTGGTAGCAACTTAAAAGCATCTGATATGTCTGTTTTACACGTTACCGCTCCAGGTCCAATAGTCTGAATCAACTTAGTTGCATCTTCTATCTTTACATATGAAAGTGAGCACTGATCTTTGTCAATTAACTCATTAACACTGGGATTAGAACTATCTTTATGAGGGGCTGATAAATCAATAACTAACCGTTTCTTATCAGATATTTTTCTATCAATTCTGACACTATGTATGGTTCGACCAGCGCTGACTTTTAAGTTTTTACATACCTTGTTTGGTAGAATCCAATCTAACTCTATCATAGTATCAAAACCTTCCTCTAACCCTACACATAAATAATCTACAAAAGTCTGGTTTGGATGATTACTTAATTCTTGTCTTAAAGCCGAAACATCCACAGGGGTTGTTGCTTTCCATTCTATATCTTTTTGAGATAGTCACTGTTTTCTGTCCTTGATGTCCCTGAATTTCCCTTGGTCATGTTGTTTTACTTGACACAGGTATATAGGCCGGGTGTGTGTCACTGTCACATGTGCTGCACTGGTGGAGGAACGGACATCTGTTTCTGTGGCACTTCCCAGCATTGAAGTTATTGCAGTGTTCCTTTCCTTTGCTTGCTGTCCTAGTTCTCCCATACTTATCTGTTCCTGTTTTGTACCCTTTCCTTTTCTCCTCTCCTTCCTGCCCCTGTTAACCAAACCCTTGTGGCTGTGAATGTTGCAGTCGTTTTCCTGTTAAATCTTGGGCGTTACAAAACCTAGACGTATGTGTGATTGAT